AAACTGTCTTACTGAATTCAAGCATATTAAAACCATGGCAATACATTTGAACTTTCTGTTCTAATCGAAGGCAGAGATACACATGTGCTCTGTTCCTGTGCAGGACATCTCCCTCAAACCATCTATCCAGCTTGTCTCCTACCTGATACTCATATTTCACAATTTTTTCTCCATTATCAAATACTTTACTCTTTCAGGACCAGATTCATTCTAAACAGGGGCAGCACACGACGAGTCACCAAGCATTCACTTCACTTTATACAGAAAAGGAGCATAATTTAGAATCTGGACTAGTTATTACAAACATAACTAAAAACTCTGCTAGAGTGAGTTGATTATCTTGGTTTGGCATAAGGCCATACTGATTCTGAAAGACAGAATTGCTCACCTCTGCTTCTCCTGATAACCCCATGCATGTTCCTGCTACTTCCTTCTCTGATCCAGCGGAACATTTTAATCTTCTTTTAGTTTTGGTTTTCCTTTTTTTTATTTCCTCTGAGGAAATAAAAAAAACAGGATTACCTCTCAGTTAGACCAATAAGCAGGAAAAATCATGACTGTCCCTTTGGCCAGCAAGGCATTCTTACAACAGTTAAACTGGAGCACAAAACCACACCTTTCACAAAAGTGATTTTAATGCAGACATAAATTTACAGTATAAACACAAGATGTTAAATGTTCAGTGGCTTAAGTCACTGAAAAGATACAAGCCTAAATTAATAGATGGTAACTCATTTAATAATTTTTCTCTAAGTGCTATTTAGAGTCAGGGTCCAGGCATTTTTAGGTTTAATGTAAATTTTGCACAGACAATTTTTTAAGACTTTGAAAAACAGTGAGTTTTAGCATTTCTATTTTTTGTCCTGGACAATGACAAATGGCAGTTATATTTTGCAGTAAATCCTGCAAGGAGCATTAGTTCATTTGAAACATTAATTTTCTTTCTAGCCAAACTTCAAACAAAGTATCACTTTCTCTTCATTGAATAATACATTTGGCTCAGATTCCATTCCTGAATGACACATATGGAGCACTAAAAAGTGCAGAATAGTGATTTTTTTCTGAAATGGTAGGATTATAAATTTCTTAGCAAAATACTAATATAGCAAAAAAATTTTACTGTTTTTATTTTGTCATTAAATGTTGGTCTTACCCACAGCTTGATAACAAATGATCTGGTAATGGATTAGAGAACTGAGTAAGTTTTGAATTTTTTTATTTTTTTTTAAGTATCAAAATACTTCAGGATCAGTTTTAGCTTGTGTTCAACTAAATACCTGATTGGACTTGGCATTTTTAGGTCTCCAGTAAAGAACATCAAGAACTTCTTTCTTCCTCAGCTATACTAAAGCCTAACAACACGTATGGCAAAGTATGGGGCAAGAATGCCATAAGCTTTTTCAAGAAGCCTTGAGAAGTACAGAAGACATTGCTCCATGCAGTGCCCAAACGTTTCCAAACTGTTAGGAGTCCCTGGAGCTTTTCATGAAGGGTTACTGAGTAGACAGGACAGCAGGATGGAGCTGTGTAAAGAATATTATCTGCATTGTGATACAAAAAGCCCACAATGAAAAGGAGCAGCTGTGTCCAAAGGTCTCACAGTATGCAAACAGCCTGTGGCCTGCTTCAGGGACATCTAATTTAAAACAACAAGCTATATATGCTTCATATAACTTAGATCACGTTCACCCAGATTATCTCAGATTCACGGGGTCTGGGCAGTAAGGCTAAAGTAGAGTGTAGAGACGTTCCAATCAAGGACACGCTTTTTCACACCAGTACTCTTCTTTTTAGGGCAGTCTCCTTTCTATGTAGAGAAACTACAAATTGAAGCAGAGCAAAGAAGGAAAAATTTAAGAATGCACTTGCAAATCAGCAATCTCTATTGTTGCCTGATTTCAAATTAGCTAGGGAAATCATCCTGCCCCAAGACAATGCAAGATGTCAAATTCCCTTACAATAAATCTGTTCATAGCAGCTTGGATGTGGGAGACTGCTTCTCAGTTTCTTAAGACTTGTCGCAAGCTTTTCTCATTCTCATAATAGATATGTAGTGCAAAGCGCTAAACAAAGGGCTGACTGATGTAAGTATCAGTAAGACCAAGATTTTTCAGTTTTAGCTATTCCTCTGATGCTCTATTTTATCTGAAGCACTTTCCAATTACGAGCAGATGACAAAATTAGCTTTCCCCATCCAATTTTTATTAGCTTTACCAGTTGTGCTTGGCATAGGCTCTCTTTTGCAGCTAAAGGTCAATTATCTTTAATTAAATAATAACTTTTTACATTGTTCTTGAATAATATTGTCTGTACTCTGTAAACCTGGAGAAATTATATAAAGCACCCTGACTTCACAGGCTGCAAGTAGTAGAATTTTTACCATTAACTTGGGAAAATAGTTATCTTAGCTCCATTTGTCTAAGCCACCTCTTCAGCAGAAGAAACATTAAGTAGTCAAAGTCTTCAGCAAAACACTGAAGAACATGCTCAAGAACAGGCAAAAGCATTTTGCAGAAGTTAAGCCATTTGCAATTATTTGATATTGGTCTCCCTTCAGTTTCCAGTTTATATTTCCTGAAGATAAGTTTCAAACTTGAGTTTAATTTTTAAAAGGCAGCTGATTTAAAAAGAATTCCCAGTGCAACTGGGTTGGCTGGCTTATTTTCCTGTTTCTATGTGGCACAGAGCTGCTCAGATAAACCAGCTTTTTCAGTCTTTCTTGACAGCTGCAATCCAAGTGATAAATAAAGAACTTTTAAGTGGGTAGCAAAGTTTTCATTCCAGAGTAACAAAACAAAGAGGTCCTATGTGCTGTTGTCATTGATGGAGTCACCAGTCCGCTCCTTTGGTCCTCTAGTTTCAACACTGTTTTCCTTGAACCTGATTGCTGAATGTGATGACCTAACAGACTATATGAAAGAAAGCATCACTGACCATGCTGTAGATTTACTGATAGAAAGTATTTTTCCTTCTAATGGTAGTTTCCTATAGCTAAAGAAAGTGTATTTTCTCCGAAGCTCACAATTTTGAAATTCAAAGTGTAGATCTGTAAACTACCCACTGAACGCTGAGAGAGCTTGTCTTCCCCTCAGAAAGATCAAAATAGACGTGAGTTACCCCACAGGTTGGAGAACAACACTGTGTACTGCATAAGCCTCACTGCGTTCAGTAAAACAAGAAAAAAAGTACTCGTACCACAGCCCTGTGCCCTGAGTCTGAGGCAAATGTGGATGGACAACCCAGGGTTCTTTGACTGCTTCAATAAAACATAAAAATTAGGGAAAAGAAAATGTCCCTTATTCAGATTGAACCGCTTAAATGTGTTTAACTTCCCTTGTTGCTACAGATTGCTCTTCTGCCAGGTCCTACCCACTCACTAAACATCTGGAACAACCACATTCCATGCAGGACATAGACACACAGGGGAAAAACAGAAATGAGAAGAGGTAATAGCAGAAAACTTGATGTCCAGAACAGGTGAGCAGCAGCGAGACCTCCCCACTCTAACTGCTCACACCTTGAGCTAAGTGCTACCCATCTACCATTCTGAGGAAGGACTGGGGCAAGAAAATCTGAAGTCTGAAGGGGCACACTCTGCATTGGATGTATTGCATGAGTCCACAGCCCTTTGAGGCCCAACATGCTCATTTTGAGTAGCCATTGCTCCCTGAAGCAAGAAAATTGAGAGCATGGTTCTGCGCTCAGCAGGATCCAGGCTCCTGCAGGGCTCGT